AACTCCAGGTATTATTGTAAAGAGTTAATATTCATTACTTTCTACATTTTGACAGAAGAAGGGTACAGGTACTAGATTAACAAAATAATTGTATGTCAATTTTTCCTTGAGCTGCTTTTTTCAAAAGCTTGAGTATCTCTTTCTGAACAATAGATATGATTCACAGAATCAGTCTTCATGACTCCATACCCTAAGACATCAATGATCAAATTTTGGTTATAAGACAACAATAAAATGATGCTTGTATTGCAATTTACTTTGCAAAGTGCTCTCACACACTCTACTTAATTATTAAAATCACACTGTGAGTTGTGTTATTGACCCCAAAATAATGATAAAAAGGGCCCTGGTGGCATAGTGATTAAGCACTAACTGCTGAGCAAAAGACCAGTAGTTCAAACCTACTAGTCAGTCCACGAGAGAAAGATGCAGCAGTCTGCTTCGATAAAGAAAACCCTACTGGACAGTTCTATGAAGAAAAACATGGCATCAGGACTGGAGGAAGACTCATTAACAACCTGTGATATGCAGATGATACAACCTTGCTTGCTGAAAGTGCAGAGGATTTGAAATATTTACTGATGAAGATCAAAGAGCACAGCCTTCGGTATGGACTGCATCTCAATGTCAGGAAAACAAAAAGCCTCACCACTGGACCAATAAACAACATTCTTATCAACAGAGAAAAGATTGAAGTTGTCAAGGACTTCATTCTTCTTGGATCAACTATCAACACTGGTGGAAGCAGCAGTCAAGAAATCAGACGACATATTTCATTGGGCAAATCTGCTGCACAGGAACTTTTTAAAAGTGTTGAAGAACAGAGATGTCAGCTTTAGGACTAAGGTGCACCTGACCCAAGCCATGGTATTTTCAATAACCTCGTATGGATGCGAAAGCTGGACAGTGAATTAGGAAGATCATAGAAGAATTGATGCCTTTGAGTTATGGTGTTGGAGAAGAATACTAAAAGTGCCATGGACTGCCAAAAGAACCCATAGATCTGTTTTGGAAGAAGTGCAGCTAGAGTGCTCCTTGGAGGCCAGGATGACTAAGCTCCGTCTCTCATACTTTGGATATGTTGTCAGGAGGGAACAGTCACTGGAGAAGGATGTCATGCTGGGTAAGATGGAAGGTCAGAGAAAAAGAGGAAGATCCCCAACGAGATGGATCAGCCAGGTGGCATCATTGATGGCATCAAGTGTGGCAGCGGTAGTGAGGTTGGCCCAGGATCAGACATTGTTTCGTTCTACTGTGCATGGGGTCGCTATGAGTCAGTTCCGACAACAACAACAACCCTGTCCCATAAGGAGCTCTGGTAGCATAGTGGTTACGAGTTGGGATACTAATCTCAAGGTCAGCAGTACGAAACTACCAGCAGCTTTGCAGGAGAAAGATGAGGCTTTCAGCTCCCTTAAAGATTTACAGCCTTGGAAACCCTATACAGGGCCTCTATAAGTCAGAACTGACTCCACGGTACATAACCGCCACCACCCTGTCCTATAACGTCACTATAAGTTGGCATCAACTCTATAGCAATGGGGGTATTTTTATACTGATGTGAATACTGAAACACAAAAGGTTAACCAGTTTGTATAAAACTCATATATACAGTTTACAAATGACAAAACTAAGACCTTTTCCTTTGTTTTGTCACAAGACGTTCTTGACAATTTTCTCTATATGCTGGTTTCAGGAGGTTCCTTTGTCCATTCAATGAATGTGATTGAGAACCTACCATTAGTTTGAAGCATCTTTGACTGTGACTGTTTACATTAAAACTCAGTTCACATATTTATAAATACACATACATGCATCTATAACAATTTTTCTTTTATGTACAGTGCAACTTTAGTATTTTCCCTTCTAACCTATTTTATTACATTACTAAATGATTATAATCATTAAGCAGCATTGGGCTGCTAACCAAAAGGTCAGAAGCTAAAACCCCACTAGCTGCTCTATGGGAGAAAGACGAAGCTGCCTGTTCCCAAAGTTCTGACTCATAGCAAGTCAGTCCTATAGTGGGCTTGGGAATGGTCATGATCTATTCAATTTATGTCACAGCTTTCAGTTTGACCCACTATTCACTATTCTAATTCATCGTAATACACTGTAATAGGGTAGAGAATGAGCCCTGGGGGTGCAGCGGTTTAAGTGCTCAACAGAAAGGTGGTTATGTGCCGTGGAGTTGGTTCCAACTCATAGCGACCCTGTATAGGGTTTCCAAAGCTGTAAATCTTTACGGGAGCAGAAAGCATCATCTTTCTCCCATGGAACAGCTGGTAGTTTCAAACTGCTGACCTTGAGATTAGCAGCCCAACTCATAATCACTTCACTACCAGAGCTCCTTCAACAGAGCCCTCTACTGCCTCTGCTGGAGAAAAGTGTTAACAATCTGCTGCCATAGAGATTTGCAACCTTGAAATTTTTCCCACAGGGCAGTTTTACTCTGTTTTCTAGGATTGCTTTGAGTCAGAATTGGACTCCTGGTGTGATGCTGTAGGATCAGCAATGGACTGCGAACTACAAGGTCGGCAGTTCAAGCATATCAGTCACTCCTCGGAAACACTATACAGGGTTTATATGAGTTGGACCTGATTCTAAGGCACTTAGCAACAACAACAATAACAACTAGGGTTGCTATGAGTCAATATTGACTCCACAGGTTTGGTGTGAGTTTGAGATGGGATAAAGAGAATAAAAAAGATAGTCTAATAGAAAAGTAGAGACGAGTGAAAATAATGCAAGAAATCCTCAATAAAAGATTTTAATCAATAGAATTAACTTACTTCACAGGTGCTTTTCACTTATTCTCCTAAATAAAGATACTGTTCATGTTAGAAGAAAAAAAAAAAAAGACTGTGAAGTAGAAATGATAATAATCATTTAAAAGGTAAGGATAGCATCAAGAAAGAAAGAAAGGAAAAATTACTTTAACTTGAGGGAATAAATTAAAAATAAGCTATTTCAAACATCCTGATCACTATGAAGGGTGCGTAAACATTGGTTTTTGAAGTACGAGTATGATTATAATACAATAATGTCTATATATTAACCTTCATTATTTGAGCATCATCATCATATAAGATATCATTTAGTCATTTAATATGTAAATATTTATTGAGAACTTATTATATGCTAGAATCCTGTTGTAGTGCTATAGGATAATCACTGGCCTGCTAATGATTCAACCTACCAGCCATTCCTCAGAAGCCCTGTACAGGGTCACTATGAATCAGAACAGACTCCATGCACTTAACAGTAACAATTTATGCTAGGCACTTATTCTATATATAAGAAGCCATAGTTGCACAATGGTTAAGTACTCAGCTACTTACTGAAAGGTTGGTAGTTCAAATCAACCCAGAATCCCCACTAGATAAAGATGTGGCAATGTGCTCCCATAAAGATTAAAATCTAGAAAACCTTGTGAAGCAGTTCTACTTTGTCCCATGGGGTCACTGTGAGTCAGAATTGACTCAATGGCACACAACAACATGCTAGGTGTAGGGAATGTCACAATAGACAAAATAGATTAAAAATCCCTACCCTCATGTAATTTACATTCTAGTAGAATGAAGCAGACAATAAACAGAATCAATAAATAAGTTATACAGTATATTTGAAGGTGGTAGATATCATGGAGGAAAATAAAACAGAGCAGAGGAGTAAAGTGTATCAGAGCAATATTAAACTGGGTGATGAGGGAGAGCTTCACTGAGAAGATTAACCTAAAGATTAACCTAAAACTGAAAGAAGATGAGAGCGTTAGCCACATGAATATCTTGGGAAAGAGCATTCTGGGGGAAATGTGCAAAGACCTTAAGTCAAGAACAATAGCAAGGAGACCAATGTATGGGAATGAATGAGGGAAAAAATCATGGAAAGTGAAGAGAGAGATAGCTCAGGTTAGATAAAGCAGGACCTTGATGACAGTGGTTAGGAATCTAGCTTTCCCTTAGATGGGAAACCACACTTTGAGCCCTGTTTCACCAGCACTGTGGAGTAAGTTTGTTCCCTTAAAATGTTCAACAATTTTGTTCAGTCCCTCTGCTCACAGTTCTCTCCACATTGCATTGTCTCTGTTGAAATCCTATTTATCCATCCACATCCAATTCAGACACACTAACCACACAAACTTTTTCTGTCTGTCCCCATACTCCTCCATAGTAGGACCCTGGGATATATCAAAGGCAAAATGACCCACTGGGATAACAATAAAATAGTACTCCACTTAGCCCTTCTTTGGCAGCATCTTTAGGTTTTCAAGTTTTGAGCAGATTCCATGAATCCATAGAGGAGCTCACAGTTGGATAATACGAGTCTGGAATCCAGAGGAGTGATCCAGGCTAGAGATATAAATCTAGAATCAGTGGGTACCGATGGCATTTAAAGCCATAGGACAAAGATAGGAAATGTGTAGCTAAAGGAGAGAAGATGTCCAAGGACCAAGTCCCAGGGCACTTCAATTTTAAAAGGTCAAGATGAGAAGAAACAACAAAGAAGCCTTAAAGGAATGGTCAGTGAGGGAGGGGGAAAAACAAAAGAGATAGTATGCTAGAAGCAGAGTAAAGAGTAAGTACCAAGAAGAAGGGAGTAATCAACAAGGATAACTGTGGTCAAATGGTCAATTATAATGAGAACTAAGATTAAGGCTCTAGGCAGTTCCGCATAAGACTTCTTGACTCAGACTATCTCAATTAAATCCTGGTTCTGCCACACTGTGTGATCTCACATAAATATTCAACTTTTCTGTGCCTCTCTTTCCTCATCTGCAAAAACAAAAGAGATAATAATAGTATCAGTCTTTTAAGGTTATTATGAGGATTATATTGGTTAATACATACACTGTATATATGATACATTATAGCCTCAAATGTTTTATCAAGAACTTTCTAAGTTTAATAAATGTATTAAAGGAGAAATGAGGTATTTAAAAAAAAACTCTGCTACCTGAAATATCTCTAACTCTTTTTTTTTTTTTTCTTCTTTTGCAGCTTCCAGCAACAAGTGTGTCCCTGCTCCTTTAGCTACTGCTTCCCTCTTGCTTTTGACCAGTGTCATCATCACTTCCTGATGCAGAGTATAGAAGAGCCCTATGAGTTTTTCCACCCTGCACCCATTCTGACTTATTCTTGTCAGAGTACCCTCACTTTCCTTTGAGAATCACTCTTTCCAACTCGCAGTTGCTGTAGAGCTAGCTCAGCCTACTGCCTACGGATGGGTTAGAACTCACACCTTAACCAATCAGTATATTTCTTCCCATAAAAACAGAGATTCATTCTGTAATAGCAAATGACCCAATCAGAGCTTGTGAGATATAATCAGTCCAGGACTATATTAGGACTGAGGTTGGATATGAGGTGTACGCTATTCTTTGTTGCTGTTGTTACTAAGTGTCATCGAGTTGGTATGGACTCATTGGGAAACCCTGTATTGGGTTTCCAAGATGCACCTGATGAGTTTGAACTGCCAGCCTTGCAATTCAAACCAACCTTGAGGTCCAGTACTTATCCTATAGTACTACACCAGGACTTCACACTATCTTCGTTGTTGTTAAGTGCCGTGGAGTCGGTTCCGACTCACAGTGGCCCTGTATCGACTCACAGCAGCCCCGTATCGACTCAGAGCAAACCTGTACCAACTCAGAGCTAACCTGTATAGGGTTTCCAAGGAGCGGACGGTGAGCTTGAAACGCCAATCTTGCCCCATACCTAGAGGGTGCCTACTGAGCCTGCAAATGCTAGCAGCAAACTTGTCTCCGGGAGGGGACACTTCCTGTGAATGGAGCTGACACAATGAAGGACGAGCTGAAAAATGAGGAGAACTGAGTTCCTAGGAAAGTGTCTGTTGAACTTATAGACACAAGTGTGCCTAAAGTTGAATACGCTGGACTTTTCATTTCATGAGTCAATAAATTATCTTTTTGCTTAAATGATTTGAATTAAAATTTCTGTTCCAATCGCCTGTAAGAATTCTGATGAACACAAGGATTAGTTCTTATTTTTTATTTGTTGTTATTATGTATGTGCCATCGAGTCATTTCTGATTCAGAGACCCAGTTTTCAAAGAGTGACTGATGGGTTTGAACTGCCAACCTTGCGTGGTTAACCATCCAGTGCTGATCCTACAGTGCCACACTGGTTGGTTGCTGGCTATATGCCCTGGAGTCAGTTCCAACTCATAGGGACCCTGTACAGGGTTTCTGAGGCTGTAAATCTTTACGGGAGCAGAAAGCCTCATCTTTCTCCCGCGGAACAGCTGGTAATTTCGAACTGCTGACCTTAAGGTTAGCAGCCCGATTCATAACCACTACGCACACTAGGGCTTTAATTTTTTAATTTAGTGAATCCTAAGTAGAAATAAATCAAATAAGTTCTAATTAGAAAACAGGATAATTTTTCATTAGACGGACAGGCTTTGAACCTCAGAGATATATCCAAGGTGTGATTTTCTTCAGAGATTTTACAAGACAAAACTGGTGTGATATCAGATGGGAGGAAGCAAAGAAACTTAAAAAAGGAGGGGGAAGTTAAAGAAAGATGTTAGTGAAATCTCATTCACTGCCATTAACAAGGTTCTAAACTACTGGTATAGCACTGTGGGATAAAGCAATAGACTGCAAGGTTGGTTTGAACCACAGGGTCAGCAGTTCAAACTCATCAGCTGCTCCTTGGAAACCCTGTACAGGGTCGTTTGGAGTCAGAACCAACTCAAGGGCACCCAACAACAACAAACACTCACATTCCTACAATATTACAAAAATTAAGACTTTACACTCAGATATTAATTTATAGAAGACTGGATGATAAACTGAAGTTTAAGTCTTCACAGGAAATTTCAGCACATTTCTTAGGAAAGCATGTTTATGTGTGTGTGGAGGTAAAGCAGGAGAAAAGACATATCTGATGACTAAGCAAATATCAAAGATGCATTGAGTCCACATTTTATGTAAACCATGAGATACAAAGTATAAATCATTACATTAAACAGGTGAGAATTCTCCAACTCTTCAATTTAGGTGTGGGAATGAGAAGTTGATTTACCTGATCTCCAAAGATCTGCTGAGGTAAACAGAGTGAAGGGACTGGCTAACTCTCTACATTTTAATTCTTTTGAAAATGCATGCCAAATACGTCTGTCTGAAAAGATAAGGAGGAACAAATGTGGAATCAATTCATCTACTGTCAGTCAGACTTCTAAAAGGCTCTATGTCCTAATGGAAGAGACTGAATAAATCATGAATCACACAGAATCACCTGGCAGGGAATTCACATACCTGTTGTGTACCATTGAATTGATTCTGACTCGTCCTAACCCTAAAGAGTATAAGTGATCCATAGGGTTTCCTAGACTGTGATCTTTATGAGGGGTGGGGTGAGGAGCGTGGGGGCTCTGTAGAATAAGCACTGGACTAACAACCACAAGGTTGTCAGTTCAAGCCCACTAGCCACTCCAAGGGGAAAAGAGGAGGCTTCCTGCTCCCACAGAGAGTCACAACCTCAGAAACACTATTGTTGTCATTGTTACATGCCATTAACTCAGTTCCAACTCATAGTAGGGTCGAACTGAGTCAGAACTGATTTGACAGCACATTACAACCACCAACAACATGGGGGCAGATTGCCAGGTCTTCTCCCCCAGAGTCACCAGATTTGAACCTTTTGTCTAGCAACAGAGCACTTAACCATTGCACCACTAGGTTTCCTTACCTACATATTTTTTGTTGTTGTTGTTGTTGTTAAATGCCATTGAGTCAGTTCTGACTCATTGTGATCCTATATAGGGTTTCCAAGGAGCAGCTGGTGGGTTTGAACTGCCGAACTTGTGGTTAGCAATCCAATGCTTATCCTACAGTGCTACACCATAATATTGGGATTTAGAGAGTAACAGAACCATGTACATCTCTGCTATTTAGCTTCCATTGGCCTATACACCCAAATACAGTAAGCACAGCATTTCCACAAAGATAGATAAATTCTGTGACTTGTTGCACAGGGACTTTGGCAGAGCAGTAACTACCAGTGGAGAATCCTGAGGGCATGGCCATGGGAGCAAGCTTTGCCATGGCCCTTGATGTGGAAACAGTAAAAGAGAGAGTCATGTTGTGTATTAGGAAAACTCTCTCAATATCTTGTATGTATGTATATATGTATATATATACCTGATCTTGTATGTACTAGTATATATACATATATATATATATATATAGTCCTGGTGTGGCACTGTGGATTAATGCCCTGGACAGCAAAGTCAGTTTGAACAGCAAGGTTGGCAGTTCAAGCTCACCAGTCACTCCTTGGAAGCTCTATACAGGGTCACTATGAGTTGAGCCAACTCAACAGCACTTAACAACAACATATATATATGTGTGTGTGTGTGTGTGTGTGTGTGTGTGTGTGTGTGTGTGTGTATCCCCACCCCAAGTCTTATAAATGCATTTATAGGAGAAATTAAGAAAAGAACATAAAACAAGTCTCAAAGGAAATGTCAAACAAAAGGGTAAAATTAAGTCTTCAGAACAGAGATTCAGAAATGACAGTTTAGAATAGAGCTAACTTCCAACAGATTTAAGAGGAGAAGTAAGGAAGACTTCCGGTCAGATGTAGCATTTAAGCTGGACCTTGAAATACTGATGGGGAACAAGGGTAAGAGGAAGGAAAACACAACAACAGTAAGGAAGAGTGTGTGCTCAGTACCCAAAAAAGCCCCCACAAGTATAAATAAGACAGTCTTGGAGTTTAAAGAAAAATGAGATTCCTCTGGTCTGTGGTTAGAAACACTTCAGAGACAACTTATCAAGTGACAGTCTTAAGATGGGTGGAAAAAAGGAACCCTAAATCCATCCTACTACTGTCAAGTTGATTCTGACTCATAGCAACCTCACAGAACAAACTAGAACTGCCCCATAGGATTTTCAAGGCTGTAAATCTTTACAGAAGCCATCTTTCTCCCATGGAGAAGCTAGTGGGTTCAAACCATTGATCTTTTGGTTGTCAGTCAAGCACTTTTACCACTGTGCCACCAGGGATTGATTATAAAGAGAAAGCTGGGTTAAAAAATAAGATGGAATACATTAATAACCAAGGTGTGAATAGCAAGGAAGCTGCAAGCCATTGCATAATATGGATGAACCTTGAGGACATTATGCTGAGTGAAATCAGTCAGTCACAAAAGGAGAAATACTGCATAGTACCATTACTGTAAAAGATACAGTACCCACACTAAAAGGGGAAGAAAAAAATATCTTTGCTGGTTACCAGGGTTTATGGGGTGGGGTAAGTGGAGGGATGGGAAGGTGGAGCACAGGGTAGGGAATAGACACAGGATAGTTTGGGTGCTGGGGGGTGGGGCAACACACTAGAAGGGAGAGGGAAAAGGAAGAACAAGGCAGATAGGAGAACAGTTAGGCAGATTTGCATGGTCTAAATAGGGCAGAGGTAAATAACGATATAAGCACAACTTTGGAACAACAGGGTTTTGGGATACAAGGATTGAGGCATGATTTGAATGAGGAAAAGGAGGGAAATAATGTTAAGATGCTTGGTTGTCATTTGAATCTTGGTTTCCCTTACCTACAATTGTAAAATAGACACTTGAGGGGGAGAGAAAGGAATAGCCAGAAACATCACCATAGAAAGCTTGTAAGTCTGTCTTCAGCCTATAACTGATTGGAATACCTAAACTGGGGCTAGAACTTGCCCAGTAAAGGAGGCTTCCTACAGAGTCTTTGCAATGCATAAGACCATAAATGGAATCCTGAACCCCATCTAGAATCTTCTCAGGTGGGAAATTTCCACTTGAAAGGACAAGAAGACCATCCTGGAGCGTCTAGAAGAACAGAAGATACTTCTTGACTCATAGCAACCCAAGGCTGTAAATCTTTACAGGAGCAGAAAGCCTTATCTTTCTCACGCGGTACATCTGGTAGTTTAGAACTGCTGGCCTTAGCCTCCCAACTCATAACCGCTATGCTACCAGAGATCCTTTAGGAGGCGCTAGTGATGTCAGAATAAGTGAAAAAGTTTGGGTTAATAGTGATTCTCTCTCCCCTTCATGAAACTCAAGGAGGGCAGA